TCCCCTGTTGTCTCATATTTTGTTTTAGAATCATATATGAAATCATTGCTTATTGTCTAATTCAAATCTAGAACTGAATGAGGAGAAGTAAAATGTTTTTTATTGTTTTCAATAACAAGTTATTTTAGGACAGTGGGTATGGTAGTGAAAAGGAATTGATGAGGACAATTAGGAATTAACTGAATTAGAGAAGCTACCTAAAATCCAGGTGAGTAAAGTACCACAAACAGTTCAAATTGAGTGTCAACACTTTATGATGATAGTTGTTATTGATTGATTCTTTGATGTGATTACATGTGAGCAAGACTTGAAAATGATTAAGATAATTTTTTGTTGAAAGTAGAAATAACCTAGAGCCAAATAGTCATCCCTGCATTACTTATAGGAAATCCTTTTGAACCCCTTTTGAGCAAAAAACAAAGTTGTTTATTGAAACAGAATCCCTGAACCTAAACAATGTTTATCCAACCTTCTTATATTTGAGAAATGGAAAATTATGAATGGATTCTTGATGTTCCTGATAATCTATGTTTTTGTTCATTTGTTATTTAAAAAAAATGATAAATGCAAGAAATGATAAATGCAAGATGAGGAAAGAAAAGGAAATTCAAATTGGTGTGAATGATGAATTGTGAAATTAGATTGTCAGTCCACCATCACTATGTTGGACCAAAAGCATGAAGTTGATTCCTGACTTGAGGAAATGTTAGACAAGAATGATTCATATATTTTAAATTTCTCAAATACGTTTGTATATCACAAAAAAACCAATGAATTCTTTGATAGTCCAGCCTCATTACAAGCCTCAAAAGACCTTTTCATTTAAGTTTTTGCTTAACAATTGTTGATTGCTTGAAGATGACTATCAATAGTGGATTATCTAAATGAAATGATTGAATGAGATAAACATTTACTTATGAGAGATAAATATTTATCATTATAATTGAGAGATGATGTTTCTCTAAGGATAGTTGATGATTAATTTTCTTTGTTAGTTTCTGTAACCGTCATGTACATTTATCTTATTTTCACTTGAAGTTGTGAACATCATATCTGGAAGAAAAATTATTTTTGTGTTAAGAGTTATGGAAGAGAAGAGGACAAATAGGTAATAAAAATTTTCTTTTGGAAAAATTGTACTTTGCTTAAGAACAAGCAAGATTCTAGGTTGGGGGGTTGTTAAGTGGTAAAAGTTGATATAATTATGTTTTTAATTATTATGAAATCACTTAACTTATGTCAATTATAATCTATTTTTCTTCCAATGTAGGATGAATTCGAGAATACCTTGATACAAGAGCAAGGAGCATAATTGTCAACATAATTGAAGCAAAAAAACTGAAAGGAGGAAGAAGATTTTCAACATGGAAGTCGCTCGAGCGAGATAGACTCTTGCTTGAGCGAAAATTAGTTAAACTTCTCTGGAACTCACTCGCTCAAGCGAGCACTTTTTCGCTTGAGCGAAAATACTAAACTTTCACTTGAGTGAAATACGTGAGGCCCAAATTCTCCTATAAAAAGATAAGATGTGTTTTGATAAAAAAAAAGGGAGTTTTTGGGGGAGAAGAGGCGCGACTACTGCTAGGGTTTCTTCCAATCTTCATCAATTCGTCACTTCTTCCTCATTTAGAGCATTGTAATGGCCACCATGAGTGGCTAACTTCATTCTATTGGGATTGAGTGCACTTCCTTTGAACTCTTTTGTATCTTGGTGATATTTTGAGATATTAATCTATGTTTTTCATGTTGTTATTCTTATCCTTTATGCTTTTGAATGTTTATTCTTGATGCTTGGGATATGATTAAAAAATATATCTTGAACCCTAGATCATGGTAAGAATATTTGTTACGTTAATTGCTAGGAATGGAATGAATGTAACAATTGTTTAACACCCTAAACCTAATGCTGGAAAATCTCTTAATTGTGTGTGAAATCAACATTTATTAGGTTTTCTTATGAATTTCATGTGTGAGGAATCAACATGGATGATTTGAGTAGGTGACATTAACATTGTTAGGTTAATTGATGTTCTTAATTGGACATTGTCATTGCAAAAGAGATAAAAGGAAGGAAATCAATCCTAAGTACTTTTAATTGATCTTTTTTAAACAATTTATAGTTCTTTGTCATTTAATTTCAATTCAACTCTTTATGCAAAACCCATTTTGTTTTAATCCACTTAGTAAGCATATAATTGGAATTTTTCATTGACACCGTTCCTCATGGGATCGAGTTTTATTTAATCGAAATACTATATTGCGATTGATAATTTTGGTACGCTTGCCAATAATTCAACACAATGCAATTGGAAAGTCTGTTCTTCATCATATGGGATTGGTAAAGAGGGATGATGGATGGTTCTTTAAAGACAAAGAAGAGTTTGTTAATGAAGGTGTAGAACCAATCAATGCTAATATCCATGATTCCTCTACTAGAAGTAATTTTTCTGCATTTGAACAAAGCATGTTAGAGAAACTTGACAAAATCTATCTATGCCAACAAGATAAGCATCAGTACTATTGTTCCATATTTGATACACTAGATGATCAAGTCTCTTTAATCATAAACATACTACAACCAAAACAGGATGGTACTGACTTGGAAGCTAATGGAGATGATAGTGATGACACTGTCCAAATATCATCCAACGATGATGATTGATTAATTTTTTTTTCCTTCTTCATGTTTTGTTTGGACAAATTTTGTGTTGTATTAACTGTCATTTACTTTAACTAGTCTGTAACTAAATACTGATTATGACTCTCTTTTATGATATTATGCATATTAATCTTTCGAACTACATGATTAACCTTTTTTTATTAAGTCCAAGGGGGAGAAAAGAGTTTACTATTGCACGGGGAGAAAGAGTCTATTAAATCTACATAAAGATTGTTGATACTGCTGAATGAGAATGTTAAGGAACTTCTAATATTTTTACTTTTATCTTTGGTGGTTGGTCATCATCAAAAAAGGGGGAGATTGTTGATGAAGAGGAAAGATAAACTAGGAAATCTTTTTTTGACAATGTCAAGGTAGTTAGGATAGTTAATTTGTATAAAGCCAAAACAATCTAAACTTTGAAAGTAAAAATAATCAATTATGTTAAAACTAAAACGCTAATAATTGATTAGATAATGGGTTAATCAATTATATATGACTTAAAATTAAGTTTTCATAAGACACATCGATTATGTGGTTACTTAATCGATTATTTGTCAAAAATCTTGTTTTAACATAACGCACTAATAATCGATTATGTAAGCACCTAATCGATTATCTATTTATTTTTAAACTACCACTGCATTCAAATAATCGATTAGATAAATCTGCTAATCGATTATCTGTGACAGTTACAACATTTTTCTTTTTATAAAAGGATGCAAACTTTCTTTAATCAATATCAATTTTCAAATACAAACAAAAACAATTAGAAAGAACATTTTGGGCATCAAGAAAAGAGCATAATTCTACAAAAGATTTTAAAGATCAATTTCAAAGAAAGGTTGTTTGGCTATAGGTGCATAATTTTGTAAATCCAAGGTGAATTTGTTTCATCTCTTTTTTTGTATCTTGTTTTTAAGCTTTGATATATGTGAGACTAGTTGCATCTGCTTAACTTAAAAATTGTGAGGTAAAACATTTTCAAGAACTGTGGTCTTGATTATAGAGTGGTGTAAAATCAAGATCAGTTGATTATATTGTAAATCTGTTATTAAGTGAAAAACTCCATACTAAAGTTGTTTGGTTAAAGCTGGATGTAGATTCAAGAAGAATCGAACCAAGTATAAATTTGTGTATCTTTTCTTCTTCTCTCCTCTTGATATACTTGTTTTTCTATAAACTGTGATAATTTTTTCATAATTGATTATTAGGAAAAAAAATTTAAATAATTTATTAGAAATTCAAAAGATTTTTGAAAACTCAATTCAACCCCCTCTTGAGAAAGTTATGTCATTAACATTTTATTAACAAAGATAATCTTTAATTTTGTTGTTTTTCCTTTTTTTTCATTAAAAATGTATTTTTTTTATTTTGTTATAAATATACGAGGGAATAAAATTTTTATATTTTTATTATTAGTATTATTATGATATTTTGTTTAAATTTCTTTGTTATTATTATATTATATTATTTAAATTATTTTTAAAAATATGTATTTATGAGTAGGTAAATATTATAGGATACAAAAATAATGTTCTTATCCTATTTCTAAGATATATAGGTTAATCAAAATGATTAATATACACTTTTATTAATAAAAATGGTTAATTAGGTTAATATTATATTTATAATATTTTTAAAAAATACTTCTCAAAAATATTAGGACTATCCGTATTTTTTATTCATTTAATTACTTTTTACCTCAAAATTAATTATAGAAACAGATGAGAGGAAAAAGTGTATCGTGTTTATTATCTATGAACTAAATTAATTAAAAATATTTTGAATGAATTGTGCCATTTAATATACTATTTTATTGGCTAGTTGCTATCACTCTCATCGATGCATTTCTATCAATTTTTTTTTCTTTTTCAATCATTTCTTTTCATCATAGTATCAGATTAAATTTCGGAAAAAAAAAAAAAAAATCCTCTTTCATCATAATATGAAACATACTATTTTAGTTAAACTTAGAGCATGTCCCAGATCCAGGGCCAGACTGAGATCTGTTAAATAAACTCTCCAAATGCAAATCAATTGTTTTCCCATGACCATGGCCAAGATCATTCAGTTCATGCAACAAATAGAAAAACCAAAACTGATAAGACCACAAGATCAACACTTATTCCCAAACACCTTACCACTCTGATTATGAAGTGATAATCAGGCTGCTACATACATAATATGTCCAAATTGTACGAAGTTTACGAATAATTAAGATACGACAAAATATAATTTCCCAAAAGACTATCAAAATATCGATCAACTTCAAAGGAAAAGTGATATAAATAACTATAAATTTTGCTTAAGTCTCGTAATCTGATAATTTGCCATTAGACTACACCGCGTGATTTCCCTGAACAGCATCACAGATGAGATTGAGCGAGTGTTCTAAATCATCACAAAGAAGGTAAGGATCCGGAATAACAAGTGGGTCCACTGCTAGAGAAATGGTCATCTTGTTAGCATAACTTTGGAAATGGATTGTCAATGCCTGCAACAGAAATAAAAAAGGTTGGGCATTACTTTCATAAATTTTTCCACCATCAAGTCCTCCATAATTGTTTAGCAAGTCAAATCATTCATGGTGATACTAGTAATTGTGTGAATGATTCAACACTTACGTGTGGGTTTCCATAAACACTAGGAGCAATGTATGCCACGGGATGACCATAAAAGCTAATTTCTTCAACAGGACCAGGTACATTAGAGAAGGCCAAAGTAGTGTTAAAGAGAACCTTTCGTGTTAGGGCAGCAACAACCTATAGGAAACTCCAAGATGTAAGAATAGTTTACATACAAATATGAAAAGTACACAAAGTAATAATTGTTTCTTCTCCCATGTAACCTTTCCTTTTAAGTGTATCATGCAATTACTTCTCTATTTGATACACTAGTTTCTGGTTGTAAATAGAAGACTGATAGAAAGTTACTTATAAGAGTTCTACCCTATCAATGTTTACCTTGACACCAAATAATTTGAGAACCACCTTTGCAAAAGCGTGGGACAAAATTGCTTCCAATGAGTGCTTCTTCCTGTCGATTGTGTTCTTAGCTTGACGAACATATTCCAATGGATCTTCATACAAAGCAATAGAGAATGGGAGGATGATGTATCCTATCAAATTACCCCATTTTACTTTTGATTTCTCTGCCATCATATCTGCTAGCTCCTGATTAGCATAATGTTTAAGCATAGGTAGTAATCGATTAGTTATGACATTTTTTATACGAAAAGAAAAAAATAATCATGAGAACTAAAAACAATAGAAAAGTAACTGCTTTTGAATTATGAAATATCTGCAAACATATAGAGCGAAAAGAAAAGGATATATCATTTTACAATATTTACTTTATTGGATCTTAATTTGATAATCACACCCACCTGTATTCCACCAACAGGCCTAAGATTAACAATAACTGATGCCCTGAGGCGAATCTTGCTGAGGAAACCAGATCCCAGTTTGGCACCATTGCTATTTGCGTCCACATCTACTTAGAGATCAAGTATCAAAGCGTTATTGAAAACAATTGATTCATATCCTTTCTGTATAGTACAAAATAATTTGCAGCATTGTAGTTGATGGTATGAAGTTCAAGAAATTTGAACCTGAAGAAATAAAGAACCTTACCATATGCTCGATACAAGTAGCGAGTGAGAGCAGCTTGTGTTATCCCCAACAAAACATCATTGATTGTCTAATTGTTAACATTTAACCAAAAAGAACAATATAACAATCAAAACATCATTGATTATTTAATTCCTATTAAAAAAAAATTCAAATTTTACCTGAGAATAACAATAGAGAAGTGAACTTACAGTTTTCATTTCATTCTTGACTAGCTTGATATCATCCATACTAACAGTGCGATGCACAAAGCGCTTGTTATTTGATTCAACCCCAGGAGGAGCTTTGAGAGGAGTTGGGGTGTCTCTGATGAAGAAAATGGTGAGAATAAAGAGCAGGACATCGAGGAGAGTGTGGCAGATGAGAAGTAGCCCCCACCAAATAGCGAAGAGCCATGAGAATGGAGTGGAGCGATGGCGTGAGGAGTGTTTGTTATGGGTTGGCACAGTTGGCAGGGCAAGAGGGTCAGAGGTTTTGCGAGTGGCAGCAAGGAGGAGTGATATGAGAGAGGCACCATCGCCAAGGGAATGATGGATCCGAAATATGGCAACAGCTTCTGCATCTGAGGTTTTGATGTTGAGGATGTGCAGTTCCCAGAGTGGCTTGGACATGTCAAGTGGAGTTTTGATGAAATGGGAGATGTAGTCTTCAACGAATCTATCTGCCTGTTCTACGTTGGAATTGGAATCTATTTCTGGAACTATGACGTGCTTGTCTAAGTCAACTGTTGTTGGAATCCACTTAGCTTTCTTTCCCTCCTTAACCTGCCCATCAACAACAACAACAAACACAATCTTACCTCAAATTTTATTCTATTATTATTCTAAATGTTAATTTAGTTTCATTTATTTGAAAGTGGATTAATGTATTCTTTTCCATCAATGTTCTATGTTTGGTGAAAGAAAAGAATACATTAATCTTTATCTAATAAAAAAATTAGAATATAATATTATAATGTAATATATTTGCTCAGATAAATATGCAATATAATATCAATTTCTACCTCATAAGCAAGAGAATATATTGATTTTTTTAGAAAAAAAGGGTCAGATTAATTAATATAGTAATATAAAATTCAAAAAATTAATAAATAGTGAACAAAATATACCATTAAATTATGATAAATAAAAAGAACATTAAGATATTTATAGGATTTAATTTTTAATTAGTATCTAAAATTTTGATATCTAATAATAAAAATTAATTTAAATTTTAATTCACAAATCAATTTAACTAAAATAATTTATAAGCTAGTCCATATAGTTACTATTATGTTTTATTTTTGAATGAGCGATATTTAACATATTTCTTGTTGTAAAATATAATAATTGATGGACACTTAACTCGAAAGTTAATTCAAAATAAAACTTTCATATTATTCTATTATTATTAGAGAAAAAGGAAACAAATAGTCCATTTGTTTTAAGAATAAAAATAAATTTTCAAGTCTAAATAATATAAATAAAAAATTATACATATATGAATGGAGTTGTGTTTTGTTTTATTTGTGCAATGACATTGAGTGTTAGAATCATATTTTTGAAAATTGATTTATCATGTAATTGATTGAGGTGATGCGATTTCACGGATTTAAAGAATTTTTTATAGGTTAAAAATAAGAAATATATTAGTTAATAACATTATGATTCAAAATAAGTTAATAAGAATATTTATTTCACAAAATGATTTTCATAGAATATATATTTTTTTCATATTTATTAGAAAGTGCTCTTATGTTTGTTTTATTTCTTAAGAAAAGATCTCCATATATAATTATATACCTTTTTTATTTCAATTAATTTATAATTTAAAAAGTATTCACATGAAAATGAAAAGTTAACCAAACATATTTTTAAACATATCTAAGAACAATTTCCTTATCATAATATTATCCAGAATTATATTTAAGTGTGAAATAGTTGATAAATATAAATGACAAAAATAAGCATATTTATATGATACTTTTAAGTAGATTTTAATTTTATTAGAAAAATATTTTAACATTGTTGATTTTTTTAGATTAATCATTTTAATTATATTTTTACTATTATATATTGCATCATTACTCTTATATTATACTTAGTTATATTGATAATATGATTATTGATATATTTGCTGAAAATATATAATAATAATAATAATAAAAATATTGTAACGGTTAAAACTAACAGTATCGTATATAAAATTGAAAAATATTATAATAAATAAACATATGGACCAATAAAAAAACTTGAAGTGCGATCAATGAAATAATAAAATAAATATTATAAATATGTATAATATAAAAATATCCATAAAATAATAAAAAATAAAAAAATAAACTTATTAATTATCATTATTAATATCTTATATGATAAAATAATAAATTAAGAAAATTATATATTATATATTATATAGAAAGGTACAAATAATCAAACTTTAACTTATAAGTGGAAGATTAATAAATAATATAACAAAACCTTAATTGAAGTATAACCTTTACCTAAAATGAATTTAAAAATTGCTACAAACAGATTAAGTAAAACTTATCTATCAAAATCTTTTGATAAGGTTCAATAAAGGTTTAAACTAATAAATAAACTATTATATTTGAGAAAAATAGCTACAATCTGAAAAATTATTCAAACTATCAAAACTTTATAATTCAATAAAGTTGTTGAATAAAATAAATCAAATAAAATAGAAAAATAAAAAATTATAAATTACATAAAAACGTAATATGATAAAGTTTAAGATATTTTTTTGAGTAAAGAAAAACAAAATAATAATTAAAAAATAACTATAGCATTTAAGTTTTTTTATTCAAAATAAAATTTTAAATTATAAGATTTTACTAAATTATATTAAAATAACACCTTTTTACTATAATTACTTTATTTACAAGTTTTACACTTTTATAAAATTAAATACTGTACTCTTTTTATGTTTGACAGTTTTATCAATCATACACTCTGCTACCATCAAATAGTCATTATCATTTAATATATTTTAACTAGGCTAATATATATATATATATATATATATATATATATATATATATATATATATATATATATATATATGATTAGATTTAGGTGTGAGATGGTTTAATAATCTATTAAAAATATGTTAAAAATATATGAAAATTAAGTAAAAAATAAAATTTACTATAATATTGTATTTAGTTATCTGAATTATATTTCTCCCAAACCTCATTGTAAGTAAATCAATCAATTTTTTTGGTAAAATAAAATATGATCAATTAATTATTATTATTATTATTATTATTATTATTATTATTATTATTATTATTATTATTATTATTATTATATAACTTTATAAAAATACACCCACCTGATTCTATAGTATATAGAAAGTAATGCTAATATAAATTATTTAAATATTTAATTAATTGTTTGTTATATGTGTTTAAATGTTTTCATTAGATAAATACACATAAAACATTAATGTCATGATGATTTCATTGCATATATTATTTTTGAATTTAGTATAAATAAATATATGATAATAGATGATAAATTTATATATTTTATAAAATTTCATTTTAATCTGTTAAAAAAATATTTCTATTTAACTATTATTTTCAAAGTTTAATATAATGTTAATTATATCATTAATTTTTATATAATGATTAATTAATTTTTATTATATATATATATATATATATATATATCCATTCTTTTCTAATTAAAAATACAAACAAAATTACAATTATTTTATAGATTCAAAAAGTTATTATTTTCTTAATTTTTTAAATATTATTAATTATAACTTCTAATTAAATTAATTGAGTTAATAAATACATGTTGGTGAGAGAAATAAATTTTTTCTCTTAATTATTTTATAAACTAATTTGTAATCTTTTTTTTCCTTAAAATTTTTAATTAATTTATTTATTTATTTTACTAAATATATTTACTGTTGTATTTGATTTTCTAATTATATTATTAATTAAGAAATATTAATAATATTTTTTATTTTATAAAATAATAATAATAATATGATTATTATATTTTCTCAATTTTACAGAATAGAAAACTATGCTAGTAAGGCCATGTGTAATTTATATCTTGAATTAATTTTGAATGATAAATATGCCCTCAAATACTGTTAATGAGAAAAAATAAATAAAATTATGAGATACTTTTGTTTTTTTTTTTTTAATTTCTACGTTACAATCACAATAAAAAATATATAAATTAATTAAAAATGAAGTGAAAAAAAAAATAACAAAAAAAAGTAACTAATATTATCTTGAGCTTAAAAATGACAGATAATAAAATGTAAAAAATATCAGTTAAAAAAATGAGGAAATATATACTAATATATCTGTTTCATACAACTGTCATGATTTGTCAATTACATGTATTATACATTATTGTCATACATGTATTATATATATGATTGTCAGCAATAATAAGCAGAATACAAATTAACCGATGCATATTAATATTTCTGATTCATATCACTGTCACTCCAGGACATGTAAATGGGTCCTTCACAGAGAATAGATCGGGAGGATATTTTAATTTGGAGAGAAAACAGAATTTAAAATTTGTGATAGATAAAGGAAAAAGATTCTGAAAAAGAATAGGAGGGAAGACGGGGGAACATTGATGCAATGTGGTCAAGGACGTATATATGGTAAGACTGGAAGCTATGACCCGACCCATCTGTTGTGATCAAGACCCGAATCATGTGTAATGACCAAAACGCGAGTCATATATAATATCAGGATCCGACCCATATACAGTACTCAGATCTGATCCATATGTGGTGATAGGGTCTGATCTTTTACATAATCGATTTAATAAATCTTTTTATGAAGACCAAATATAAAATCTAAATATCTTTAAACAGATTTTATAAAATCTTAGCCCAAAATCGAGAATAAATACAGATCAAACATGGATTTAGGGTTTGGCGAACAGAAAACATTACAATATCTTGCAACAACACTATTAATTTAGATAACTATTTAAAAATTAAACACCGTTGTCTGTTCCATCTTTTCCATGCAGATGAGAAGCTATATTGGATCTTTTTCTTCTTCTTTTATTTTTCACGCAAAACTTTTCTTGAACATCATCCCATTTAAATAATTCATAAATATTCCACCAACAGGAAAGTAAGACATAATATCATAGTATAGTTTGAGGTTCAGAGTTGATTGAGCAGTTCAGTTCAGTGTAAATTTTAACTAAAGAGATGCAGATACATAAGTAATATTACTAACCATTTTGGTATTGAATCGTGGATGATTGAGCATTGTTTGACATAAACCTTGTCTAATGATCCGAGGATTGATGCTCGTCTTGCAACCCATGATGGTAATCACGCAATAGTTTACGGAAGGTTCATGCAACAACATTGCTGCCGGACTCAACTGTTCATCCTCCCTCAATGCCATGTTTGCTTCTCTTCTATCACAGTTTTCATCCATCCATGCTTTTAAAGATGCAAGAGGGTTGAGTTGTAAGATCGTTTAAGGTCAATGAGATTACAATCAAGATAGGATATCAGACTAGTTACTCTATTCTGCAATGAAACTAACGTTTCTGTTATCTATTCTGGCTCTTTGTCGTGTGGTCACATGCTGAAAGAGACTAATAATAAACCTATACATGTGTGCCAATTTTAATATTAATATTGTAAAATTAAATCCAATAGGAAATCATTTACTGAAAATTTGAATGATTCACGGATTTGAAGAATCAAAGATCACTGATAAACTAGGAAAATAGATTACCATTCAATCAATATTAGATGAACAATATATTTTTTTAATCTCCTCAACTTGATTTTTTTTTTTTTAACTAAATATTAAATTTATTTTTCTCTTTATTTTATTTAAAAAATTAATTTTTTTAAAAAGTATTACATCAAATTGTTTAGAATTGGGTTTATAGTAGTGACTATTGAACCATTTATCTATATAGTAAAGTTCATGATAAAACAAGGGGAAGGGTGAATTAAAACATATTGTATTAAAAAATATGAACAAATTTGTTGTTTAAATATTTTAAAAAAATTTGTCTATTATAATAGTTAAAGAAAAATAATTTTAAATAAAAAATGATTTTAGAAGAAAAAAATTGTCTTTTAGCAACACCTACATCATATTTCAAATATTGTTAAACTTACATAAAGCTTAAGTCACAATTATTTAAGTTCAAACAATATTTTTTTTATGGATAACATAAATCATATATTTATTGGTAAGTTTGAAATGTTTATGATAACACAAATCATATATTTATTGGTAAGTTTAAATTTGTGCAATCCTAATAAATACATCATATATGTTGTTTAATAAGGTGGAAGCAGCTTACACTCCTATGAATACCTTTATTAATTTATACCAATAATTACTAGTGTCATTATTTCTAATAAATTAGTTTTTTTTTCTATAGAATTTAATTGAGTTATATATATATATATATATATATATATATAAAGGGACTAGTCTATAACGTGTGAAAGTGAGTTAACGAATTGATTCGTCACGAGTTATATTAAAAGTTTATCAATTCAATCCATCTCATTTTTTTACTTAACTCGATTCGATTTCAAAGTGTGATCAGTCGAATTGATTCTGAGATTGAAACTCATGTTGAGAGACCTACCTATCATAAGTGTTTCATATTTCATAGGTGTTACGGTTAAAAAATATACAAAATTTGTTCGTCATTTTCAAATTATTTTTATCTATTGCTATCTTATATATGCATTTTATCTTTACTAAATATATTTAGGTAGAAGTAATTTTCTGTTTTACCAACAATGATTTATGTTTGCATGCAAAGTGAATGCAAGTATAAGTATTTTTCACATAGTGTATATACAATCCTTAGATTAAAATATGAAAGTGATTTGAAAATTAATGACTAAAAAAAGTACTATTACTATTTTACTGACATAATACATAGTAAGTAATTTGAAAATTAATAATTACAAAAGAATGGAGCCAACCAGAAGAGATATCCTTATAAATGTTCCTTGGTCCATAAAAAGCCATTTTTAGAGTTGAATACTTGGTTATTAGGACAAGACAACCACCTTACTAAGAATCCAGAGCACTAGAGAGAACTCAAAGGCAAATAGAGTATGAAGCAATCCTCGATCAAGTGAATACCCGTACACAGTTATTCCACCATGATTGTGCTGTAAATATGTTACTGCAAAAATCAAACATGATAAAGTAATTAGTTTTAAGCCTCATTTTCAATTCGATTTGAAAATGAAAAATAAAAGATTCATTGAATACCCAAACGGGTGCTTTGGTAGATTTGATTTTATAATTTTTAATTAAACTCACTTAAAGTCTGTCTGGTTTGGAAAGATGAAAGTTGTGGTGGGATCACTGATACGTGTATGTGTGAGGAATCATCAGAATCAGTGTCACTAGCTAGCCCCTCAGACACCTCAGCTTTGCAATGCTCTGATTCAGCAGATGCAGTAGTCACCAGCATGTGCCATCTTGTGGCAATTGCCACTATTCCTTGTGCTCTATGTGTGATTCTTGCTGCTCCCAGAATGCACAAGAAGAAGCCACTTAGCTGCACTGCTGAACAAATCTGCATAACAAGATTGTCACTCTCAACTTGGGGATTCTTTTTCAGTCAGAGTATAAAAGGATAGCCTTAGATTCATTAAGCTAGTTTTAAATACACTATCATTTAATCATAAAATGTAATAAAGTTGTTAGATTTTGTAAAATTGCATCAAAAGTCATAGTTAATAGGATGTTATAAAAACCTTAGAAAGTGTATGTATAAAAATCTTAGATTTTGTGTATTAGAAGGACTTATAAAATGTTTATCTAAGCAAGTTCTTATCAACACCAACACAATGCTTACCACAAGATCACCAGAATTGAAGAAGGTCTTAACAGACTTGGAAGCCAAAACCAGGAGCAGAGCACCCAACTGACTAACAGTGATGGTAACCACAATTCCAATGATGAAGAATCTATACCTGTGACTTGTAACCCACAACTGTCTCCTGATCCTCACATGCTCTTTGAATATCACCCCTGCCTCAGACCCACACCCTTCAAACAGCTTGTGTACCCCTTCAAACCTAAGCTTCTGAAGCTCACATGTGAGTCTGAAGAGCACACACACCAACAGGAACACCCCAGTTCTGTACACCCAAGACACCAACACCAACACAAACACTATTGAGTTGAGAGGGAACCCAGGTCTTATGTGTGGGGCTGAAATCTTAACTGCTGAAAAGAATATGATCTTGTGGACAAGCTCCACCAAGAAGGAGGGTAGGATTATGTATGTCAAGTATCTGAAGGCCTTCTCAAGCTCCTTTGTGTACCCGCGTCGAACATAGGTTGTGTCTTCTTGCAAAGCGTCTAGGAACAGAAGCTGCCTAAGGCCATACCTGCATGGACAAACATGACTCTATTGCTATATAATTCAACATAAAAAAGCTAAATTCACTGTGCTAATTACTTTCTTGGAAAGTTCTAATAAACGACCCATGAAGGCAAAATTTCAATCCAAGTATCAAAATTTAAAACCTTGATTCCAAGTGTTTGTACATATATTCTATATGTTTTTTAACTTTTGCTTTCTTATGTTGAATCCATTGACTTGGATTCGACAATCTTTCTCAATGTTAAAGGGAGAGGATTTACGTTCGTGATTTTTTACATATATTGGAATCATAATAGTGTACCTTTTGAGAAATTATTAAAGAGTCGTGTATCACAATACATTGATTTCCTTGTGCATGTATTTAAGTGTTATTCATTTCATATTGTAAATAAAAAAAATTATATCAGACCATATATAATAAATGTTCTCTCCATTTTATAATTATTATTGTAGTTTTGGTTAGCTGAGAAATTTTCAAACTAACTTTTTTTTTTTCAACTTTCAAATGAAACATTAATATTTTTTATTTATTTTGTATTTAAATGAATGATTTTCTTTATCTGGATTAAAATAATGTATTCATAAAAAAGTTAAAAATTATTTTAAAGTAAGGACATTTGTATTGTTCTTCTTAACAGCGTGAAACAACTTTAATTGAAATTATGGGATGGAAGGATCAGAAAATGAGATATGAAGATAGAGTAAACAGATGTTAGGAATAAATTGATAAATGATGTTGGATGAGAAATAAAGAAAAATAATTGGGGTTGTTGAGGTGGAGAAGAAGTTGAACCTATGAACATAATACCAATGTGTAAAGGCTATTTATGCAGAAATATTTAAATGCAACACACATACACACACGATGAAGTGTTTGTCTGGTACCTTCTGAAGAAACTGGAAATTGTGAAGAACGAAATAATGGCAAGGCCAGATTCGGGCAGTTGAACAAGCTTGTTGAAGGAGAAGGGGTCATCTTCTGGTGAGGAGGAAGGGACTTCAACGAAGATGGAGGTGAGAAGAGGAACAAGGATGGTGAAGAAGATGAAAGTGATGTAGGATACGAGTTTTCCAACGCATGAAGAGTGGTCAAGGGCACACCACTTGAGGCTGATGCGAAAGTTTCGCAGTTCATCGAAGATCATGGACTTTGATCTCGCATACGATGGCTGTAGCAGCAAGGGAACAGTGTTGTTTATAGGTTGGAGCTGGTGTGGTTGTAATTCTTCATTTGGGTGGTTTTCAGCAAAAGACACTCTTCTGGTCGATGGTTCAATGTCAATGCTTGTGTTGTTGGGTTTGAAGGGATTCATTGTTATTGCGAATGTTAAGAATGGAGAAAGCAACAAGAGACAGCCTTTTTTCTTTTTTGTGAGGAAATATTATGGGAGTTGATAGTGGCAAGAAGGTAATGATTGTGTTGTGTTTATTGTTATATGAACTATTGTCAGTTTTATCTCTATTTTAAAATATGAAACTTTTGTGACCTACTAGAATAATTATGTTACACTTAAAGAAAACCAGACACAATAAAAGGTAGAAAGTAGAAACCTTGCTTAGTCTCGTGAGTTTTCTCTTTGCCTTGTGCTAGAGGTTTCAGTTTGAAGCCAAGAATAAAGGGTATAGGAGGAGAACGACACTGACAGAGGAAAAGGTTTAGGTTGTCCATTTCATTTGCATGCCATTGTGGTTTTCTTTTGTCATGTCAGTAGTTAAATGGAGCTTCTTTTATTGGTTCTGTGTTGCTTTTCAATGAAAAAGATGACCTTCATGAATAGTTGAACGGAAAATGAGAACTTAGACAAAATCAAATAAACCAAAATTGTGATAAAATTTCAGTTAATTGGAAATAGGGCAGAGTCCATGTATTGTGGAATGAATATACAGAGCGAAAGGTAGGTACCGTCACGGGAGGTAGGAACTAGAAAGTCAAAACACTGACACGTGGCTCTGTTGCTGCCACTATTCAATCCATGTGTGCAGACTAGAGGAGGGTACTGCGAAAAGTTAAAACATACACAGAACCTGGATTCAACTTTTTTATGATAGTCACGTGTTTTTTTGTTTTTTTTTTTATTATATGTTTTTTCAAATCTTTATAAATAGATAGATAGATATTGGAAGAATCAAATTATAGACACTTTGCTTGGACTGATTTTGATTTATTAAATATTACCACAAATATTTATTAGATTTTAAGAAATAATACATAGAGTATTAATTATTTATAAATTTAAATTAATAACTTTGATTTGATTAATTTTAGTTCTTGACTACTTCCCTTTCATATTTTCAATCAAAATAAAAGGAAAAAAATGGTTAGCGAAAACATGTGAGAACCCTCGTTAATCCATCAGCAATGTCAATCTAATACACTGTAAAATAAAATAAAAAAGAAGTAAGATGGCCATGAATATTCATGTTTTGATCAAGGGATAATTAATGGAACTTAATCAATTGATTAAGAATTAGATGTTATGTTAAGAGTAATGACCTTAACTCTGACATCAATTATTAGGTCGAATACTTATCACTAAATAAAAAAAATATAGTTTATGACGCAACTTTTTCAATTTAAGAACAATAGACAAATCTTCACAGTTCAATTGTTATTTGATTCACTAAATCTTTGTTACTGAATAATTGATACACTCTACAATAATTTACAAGATAATCTTCATAATTCAGTCTCTATTTAGAGTATTATATTTGTTCATTATTATTATCCACAATTTATCTTACAAATATTGATAAAAAAAACTTCAATTGCTACTCAAATTTGAATATATGAATCAAATCAAAATTTTCTTTTGAACGTGAACAAACAATGAGAGTATTTTTTCTAATGTTCCCTCTGTTTTTTTTTTCACATTGTAATTCTCCAATAATATATTGTGTAGTCTTTTTACTTGTTTTTTTTTTTGGAGAACCATACAAAAAAAACATGAAATCATAACAGAAATAGAATACAAAAGAAAAAGCAGAAATGATATTACGTAAGTAATATGAGATGAGAAATAAATAAAAAAGAAGTTAATATTCTGAAACGAAAATGATAAATTAACAATCCTAATGGGGAAAAGTGTGTAATAATACGCTGAATGCACAATAATTAATAATTCTGCAAATAAAGTTATGACTGGGTATTTCCGTCCACGTTCTTTTTTCTGTAATTGCATAATAATAATAATAATGCTGCAAATTTGCAAGTTCTTAGTTCTTATCAATCTATGTAGGAAATAAAAGCACGTATGATCCAAAATAGAAACGCATGGCACATAGAACCTACGAGCAACGTAACATCAGCGTATAAAACAAACCACACACCAGACAAGAAAGGGTTACATAAAATTGTTACGAATCAAGCTAAGGCCAATGCAGTAGAAGACACCTTCTTCCTCAATAACAAGAAAAAACAGCTTTCAAGTAGCCCCCCTTAATATAATATATATGCTATTAAACAAAAGAACCATCGAAAACAAGGTCTAAATCCAAATCATTACTCGTATATGGCCGGCCTAATAATTTTTATTTGCATGCAGGACTTTGTCAATGCCACCCCTTAAACCATTGAATCTTAATTTCCTATGCACTTTCTCCCAAACTCTTGAATAATTCACTTGTTCTTTGTTCTCATTTCCTCTTTTTCCTTTCTGTTCAACCAATAACCCTTTTGGTTCGATTTTGAGAAACTAATTATGGATCGTAAAAGACCATATTATTACCTTCTAATGCTCTCTGTGTTGGCCATTTGTTTTGTGCCATCGTTGGGAGACACAAATGCTCAAATTTTGATGAGGTTCAAAGTTTCCTTGTCAAATGGCAATGCCTTAAACGACTGGGGAAACGAGTCTAGTTTATGTAGCTGGACTGGCATGTTATGCCGCGCTGACCAAACATTTTATGGCTTGAGACTAGAACACATGGGACTAGGTGGGAAGATTGATGTAGAAACCTTGTTTGAATTGCCAACTTTGGTAAGTTTTAGTGTCATTAACAATACGTTTGAGGGTCCAATGCCTGAGTTCAAAAAGCTTGTGAAGTTAAGGGCATTGTTTCTGTCTAATAACAAGTTCTCTGGTGATGTTCCGGATGATGCTTTTGAGGGCATGAGAAGACTGAAAAGGGTATTCTTAGCAGAAAATGGCTTCACTGGTCATATTCCTAAGTCACTTGCTAACTTACCTAGACTCTTGGATTTGGACTTACGTGGGAATGGTTTTGGAGGAAACATACCAGAATTTCAACAGAAGGATTTCAGAGTGTTTAATCTGTCTTATAACCAATTGGAGGGTCCAATACCAGAAAGCTTAAGCAACAAAGATCAAAGTTCATTTGCTGGTAAATTAATAGCCATTTCTTTTTCTTTTTTTTTTTTCACCAACAGGCTTAGTTTTTAATTTGCTTGTTGTTTCTCATTATATTTATTTTATTTGTTTTGAAAATCCATGTTTACTGATACCTTATTTCAACTTGGCCAAACCAAAATCGTTTACTTTGATTTGTGTCATTTGGAAACTCTGCCATCATTAACCTGAGAATAGATTTTAAATTATATCTGAGGTTTTGTTGTGTTTTTTTAATGTCGTAGAATGTGGTTAAAATTATGGTGATAAACACCTACAAAATCTTGAGATGGAAGCTGAGATCGCAGTAATTACAGTTTAAAATCTCAATAATCTCAATATCCTTCTTAATCTTTTGATCTATGATTCATATTATATTTAGTGATTCTTTTATGTTCTTTCCCTTTTTTTTGTTGGGTCCAGGCTCATGCAGTATTCCTACAGGTTTATTTATAAATACAATATCATAGCTCTAAAATGTGGTTACAACTTTAATTTTGTTACATTTAAGAATTAAGAAGTTTACGAAAATTCATGTAGTCCATGATCCAACCAGTATTAACAAAATTATTTTATTGATTAAAAATACAAAAAATAATATTAAAAATGTATAACATGATAATTCTATAATGTTAAAATCTAAACTACAACATTAATGTATACATTCTTAATATTTAAAATACATATGAAAGTTTAAATAAAATATGTGTATCATACTTAAATTGATTCAATAACATATACATTAATATTTATTAATAATAACAAATTTATACATTGAATAAAAAAGTAAAATTATCAATTTCCAATTGATTATTATTTAAAAATAAAATGAAAAGTATGATTTATTAATTTTCTTTTTCAACAGATTTGACATTGCTAAAAAAAAAAGTGGTATAAAGCTATGTTGTAGTTCTGTTGTCAAAATTTATGTGATTTAAATCCACACCACGATTGGAGGTTTGCAATTTAGAATCCTTCAAGGGATGAATACACTCTACCACACATGAAGCTTTGCAGACTTAACTTTTTGGTGGTGGAGAAGAAGTTACTGTTATTGGATTCCGGTTTATGCATCTGCAATTTTACTAAATTATTCATTGATGCACACATATTCATCAAAGTTATACTAGAGGATATCATAGACAGGTTACCAGATATATAGTACTACTTTCTTTCTTCTTATTGCTGAATGTGTTCTTACAAATCTCTCACACGTTTTTTGTGAAACACAGGCAACAAAGGCCTATGTGAAAGGCCTATGAGTTCTTGCAGTCATATTCGCGGCAACGAACCTAGATCAGAGGATATCTTCCCTGAACATCAAAGAAAGGGAAGGAAATTCAAAATTCTTATAATAGTCATTATAGTGGTGGCAGTGGTTGTTTTTGCTTCAATGGTGGCACTTCTATTTATTCATAACCACAGGAGAAAAAGGTTGCAACCTGGAATAGTAGCCAAGCAGGGAAATTCCCAGAAAAATAATGCAGGCTTCAAGGAGTCACAATCCGTTGATCTGACAAGTGATGTCAAGGATGGTGATGGCCAACTGAACTTTGTCAGGGAAGACAAAGGGGGATTTGATTTGCAAGACCTGCTTAGTGCCTCAGCTGTGGTTCTTGGTAGTGGCAGTTTCGGGTCCACTTACAAGGCTGTGGTTTTGAATGGACCAACAGTGGTTGTGAAGAGGTTTAGGCATATGAACAATGTTGGGAAACAAGAGTTCAATGAGCACATGCAAAGGCTTGGAAGCTTAACACACCCTAATCTTCTCCCTCTTGCAGCATTCTACCACAGAAATGAAGATAAGTTCTTGGTTTATGACTTCGCTGAAAATGGCAGTTTGGCCAGTCATCTACATGGTATGTCAATAAACAAATATTTTAGACATAATTAGTAGAGTCTGCCTCCGTTGTTTACTTCAGTCAATTAATTAATAAAAAATGGTCCCTGATTTTAATCATTCAATTAATGTTATATTTAGATAAACTTTTTCGTATAGAAAAAAAAGGAAAGAATAAATGAACTGAATGATTTTATACATTAAAATCAACTTATACATCTTAATTTTTACAAAAATTAAAAGTAAAAACTTTTCTAATAGTTAAATGAATATCTATTGATTTTGTTTGTTCCTACTTTTTGTATTATCTTTTTATGATAATTAAAGCAAATTACAAATGATTGGTATTGCCTGGTTGTTAGCTTGATTAAGATTGAAATTTGTAGTGATATTTTACGTAACTATTTTTGATAAAAGTAAATATATTTATTTTATCTTATCATGAGTAGTTAATAAGTTTATTATGCAAGGAAAACCTAATTCATTTTGTTAAAGCGATATGAAAAATGCACTAGGTTTTGTAGTGTTTTATTGCCATGGTGAGTCATATATGATTTATGAGACAAGAGTACTTTCTCTGTTAGAGAGATGTGCATATAATAGCTAAGCTTTTGGGATAATTCATAATTGAAATATAGTACAGATTTAAAGAAAATTGACCATCAAAACCAATTTTGGCATTGACATGCAGGCAGAAATGGCTCTGTGCTGACCTGGTCCACCCGTTTGAAGATCATAAAAGGGGTGGCTAGGGGCTTAGCCTACCTCTATGAAAACTTCCCAGAGCAAAACCTACCTCATGGTCATCTCAAGTCCTCTAATGTGGTTCTGGATCATTCATTTGAACCACAGTTGACTGAGTATGGTCTTGTGGCAGTGATGAGCAACAGCCATGCTCAGAAGTTCATGGCAGCCTACAAGGCCCCAGAGGTGAGCCAATTTGGCAGGCCAAATATGAAAAGTGATGTGTGGTGTCTGGGGATCCTCATTCTGGAGCTGCTGACAGGGAGGTTTCCAGCAAACTACCTGAGACATGGGAAGGGTGGGAACAATGCTGACTTGGCAACATGGGTTGATGCAGTTGTGAGGGAAGAGTGGACTGGTGAGGTGTTTGATAAGGACATCTTGGGGACTAGGAATGGGGAGGGTGAGATGCTGAAGCTGCTGAGGATTGGGATGTTTTGCTGCAAATGGAGTGTTGAGAGTAGGTGGGTTTGGAGGGAGGCAGTGGCCAAGATTGAGGAGGTAAAGGAGAAGGATGGTGAAGATGATTCTTCTTCTTATGTCAGTGAAGGAGATTTGAATTCAAAGACTATGACTGAAGATGAATTCTCTTTCTCTGTCACTAGTTGATGACTTTCATTAATAACTCAATCTGGGGACTCGAATTTTCAACTTTCCAAATGGTTACTGATACTGTTTGTGGTCATTGCTATGTTGATTATGGCCATTGAGGCCTAAAATTGTTTTTTATGTTTGCACAAAGTGTAAAATACATTTTATAATTATTATATTTATTTGTAATTTTCTTCAGATTTTTATTCATTTGTAAGACTTTGTGCCAATTCAATGAATAATAAAATTTATGTCCGTTGCAATACAATGACTAAGTCTATGGTTTAAAGATAGGTTAGGCTGACTGCATTGCATTTATTGAGCGTTGCCTCAAGATTTTATAGGTTTAACATAGGATTGGGGAAAAAAAATTCAGTAAGTTTAGTTTGCTTCATTAATCCATCCAAATAACTAGATTAGAGTTTTATTCTAATCCAAATGTTATAAGCTACATATTTATTTTCGATTTCTTTCATGTGATTTAAAAATTGAAAAGAAAAAACATGTTTTTCTCTTGTCTAGGTAAGAAGAGAAGACACCAAATTGGATATAGGAGTTCACTACAACAGAAGACATGTAATAGCGATTCCACATGTTCTATAATAACGGTTAAAAATGCTATTAAATATGAGACGTTAATAAAAGAAAGAAATTAAGATAGCGGTTATTTAACCGCTATTATAAATAAGATATAATAGCGGTTAACGTGGAACCGTTATCATATATGTACTTTTAAGAGCGGTTAACGTGAAATCGTTATCATATATTTGTCACTTTTAAGAGCGGTTAATGTGGAACCGCTATCATATATGTGTCACTTTTAAGAGCGATTAATATTTTAACCGCTCTTAAAAGTGAACATATAATAGCGGTTTCACGTTACACTACAAGAAAAAACGCTATTAGCGACCGAAAAAATTGGTCGCTAATGGCCAAAAATCGGTCGCTATTCTGTTAGCGACCGAAATTAGCGACCGAAATGGTTGGTCGCAAAAGGGCAAGTCGCTAATTTGTTAGCGACCGATTTACATTTCGGTCGCTAAATAGCGACCGATTAGGTGGTCGCTAAATAATTTGGTTACTTATTCATTGAAGACCAAAATAGCGACCGAAATTAATATAATAAATCGGTCGCTAAATCGGTGGTAAAGTTTTAAAAAATAGCGACCGATATATTCGATCGCTAATATATTAATATAATTATGTAAATAATAATTAAAATCGATCACTTAATCAGTCGCAAAAATAGCGACGAAATTAATATAGTAAATCGATCGCTAAATTGGAGACAAAGTTAAAAATAATAGCGACGGATATAATCGATCGCTAATACATTAATTGAATTATTTAAATAATAATTTAAATCGATCGCTAAAATTGAATTGTATATTATAATAAATTTGTAGCGACCAAAAATTCGATCGCTAATCTAACCAAATCTGAAAATTTTCGTTTAAAATTTTGTATATCCAATTTTACAAAATTTGTACCGCTTAATTCATCCAAACAGAACACAAATGAAAACTTAAGAACTAAAGTCAAATTATTCAAATCATAATAAGAACAATTCAAAGTCATAACGAAATAAAATGTTTCTAAACAACTACTCAAGATTCAAAATCTTAATATCATAAAATTGAAAATTAGTCCTCCGGTATATTGTCAGTGTCATGTTGAGTTTTAGTAGGATGACTATTCATTTGAATATGTTGTAAAATAAGCTTCATTTGCTCATCTTGTTGGCGTTGGTTGTTCCTCAACTCCTGCATCTCTTCTTGAAGTGTCTTCTCCTTATTATGCTTTGCCACCAATTCAGCATTTAACTTTTCAATAGTCTTACGCATTTGTTCAATTTGATGAAGTACTGGAGTTTGAGTAATAGAAGATTGCGAACCTGATGTAATAGTGAACTTTTTGCTCAATGTACCAAGTTCATACACATTTCCTTTTTTATTTTCACCTCCAACAACTGAAATGTGTATTTCATTATCATCAATAGAGACAATAGGAGACTCTTGTGAAGATGAGCCTTCACGCAAGTTATATTGATGGACTTCTTCTCTGCGCTGCATATATTGTTCCTAAAAATGAAGTGAAATATAATTATTATGAAGAAAACATATATTGAATAATAAACTATAACTTAGATGTTAAACATACGAGCAAGATAACGAGTTTTGTCATTGACCCATTGTCCGAGTCTTTAATTTCTTTGTCCTCTCAACAACCTCCCAAACGGTTGGTTCCCGTTGAAACTCCGTAGTCTACACATTAAAATGAGACAAAATTCATTACCTAAAGTGTAATATATTGTATTAAATTACTTATATAAAAATATAATAAGCTTACCATCTTCTCAAAGTGAGCTGCAGTAGATATGGAACCCCCACGAGTAGGCTGAGGCACCCTTATCAACAACTCGATTAGTCTTGGCAATGGCACTCTTATTTTGGAAATCTGGAGAACTCCAATGTAAGTCCAAAGATGCTCGAACAGCTGGCGGTATCCAGATTCCCGTATCCTTACCATTCCTAACTTTGTTCATTGAGTTTTTTAAAATTCGAGAACCTTTCTTATCAAAAACAGATCTTATGGTTTGCTCTTGTTCCACATCCCATATATACTCTTTCTACATAAATAAAATACACAACAAACATTTAATTTATAAGAATGAAATGACATTATTTAATGTAACTATAATTCAAATTATCTTGAACTCTCCAAACCATCTATCTCGAAGCTCAAGTGAAACCTTTCTCCAAGTGGGACTTGGTTCATCAAATTTTTGTTTGATGATTCTAGAGATTATAGCGAGGAGGACCATTTCTTGGTATAAACCTGTGTTGAAACATATTGTGGGATTGATATTATTAAGAAATTTCATATTAAAGAATTATAATTAAATTAAAACATACTTACTCTCCTTTGTCTCGCTTGTAACCATGGCCTTTGATCAACCATATTTCCGAGACTCAACCTCGGTTGCGGATCGACCCGAGTACCTGTGTAGGTTGACCAAATGTCGCCTCGATAGAGAAGGTAGTAGGAATTGTTTCTCCTACTATAGCTACAGGAGATTCTCGCTGAGTTGAGGGAGGTGTGCGTTCTACAAACATAGGATTAGTAGACTCCATGGATCTTGGTCGAACAGAACTAGGAGAGTTAGGGCTGGGTGAACCTCTATCATCAACAAGTACACCTCGACCACCACGATGAGGTGGTCTACGACCACCACTTCTACCCCTTTGTGGCATCTACAAGCGGATCTTATTACATATGTAACATGCATAAAATTAAACAATTGAAACAATGAATTACCTGATTTGCTTTTCTACACCCAAACGTGTCAGTTAGCTTACCACTCATTCACTGCAAATAATTAAATCATAATCATATCAATATATATATATATATATATATATATATATGTATGTATATATATGCAATATTAAATAAAGGTGTACAATCAAATTTAACAATTGTAAAAATAATTTTAATGCATGAATTACCGAAGTATCTGTATCATCGAAATCACTCTCAGTCTCATCCTCACTTGAAATATATTCATCCTCATCTTCATCTATATTTCTTTCATTTAGTAATTGTATATCTATTTCTTCTCCCCCACCATTAACATCAGCAAGGGAATCATCAATGAAGTTAGGATCAACACGAAGCACTACTTCAAGTCCTACAAGCTCATCATCTTGGTATGGAGTCTCATGCTTAACTTGACTGACTATATTATCAATGATTCTACTACGAGATTTTGTCTTTATTACACCCAACCAACCTCGGTGTCCCTCTGGATAACTTGTGTAATAAACTTGTTCTGCTTGTTGTGCAAATATGAAAGGATCATATGCTTTATTATATCTTCGTGATTGCTTTACTTCCACGATTCCATACTTATTATCTACTTTGGTTCCTATATTAAGAGTATTGTCAAACCATTCACACTGAAAGAGAACTAAATTCATCAATGGCAAACCAGTATACTCTAATTGAATAATTTAGACAATAATCCATAAAAATCTAACTCTAATTGACCATTGGTTCCTCGTACATAAACACCATAGTTACAGGAATTCATGCCTTCACTCCAAACAATAGTGTGGAATTTGTATCCATTGATAACATACATAGTTAACCTGAGGGCGTACAGTCTCAACAAGTTCCCAAATTGGTCTGTCAAGCACCACCAAATCCGCAGTAAGAGGGATCGAAGAACCTATCTACTTCACAAATCCACCTACAACAAACGATAAAGAAATTCTGTCAAAATTATCTCTCCTATATTATTCACAATGCAAGAGAATAACAGTATATACATTCAAACAAGTCAAACCTTGGTTGAATATACATTCAAGCACATGTTTTACATATATTCTGAAGGTCGTTTCGGTGGCAGAGGCTGCGGAGGAGGTTAAGAACAGAGGTGTGGTGCGGTGGCTCACGGGGTGGCGTCCGGTTGACGAGGAGCTTTGGTGGAGGTTGGATTAGGGTGAGGGCCGACTTGGGGGAGCGAGTGAGGGGGCTAGGGCTCGCCGGGAGTGAGGAGGAGATACTGGCCGTGGGATTTGCAAGGTTAAGAGGAATGGGTGAGTGAGGCGCGAGAGTTAGGGTTATTTGGGGATAATTGGCGCGACTGGGATGTATACGAAAATGAAAAATGTGGTTGTATATGATAGCGGTTCCACTGGAACCGCTCTTAAAGTTAACATCTAATAGCGATTAAACCTTAACCGCTATTATATATTTTCAAATATGATCGATCATTTGAAAATGTAATCGATCATAATAAAAAAATGTGGTTGTATATGATAGCGGTTCCACTTGAACCGCTCTTAAAAGTGAACATCTAATAGCGGTTAAAACTTAACCACTATCTAACAATTATCGCTCGAGCGAGACCAGTGTCGCTCAAGCGAAATACAACCCGAGAATGTCAATTTTGTGCAGGTGGCGTCGCTCGAGCGAGACCAGTGTCGCTCAAGCGAAATACAACCCGAGAATGC